AAAAAAGTGGACACTACACAATTTTCTAATGAAAAAAGCGGACACTATACAATTTTCTAATGAAAAAACCGGACACTATACAATTTTGTAATGAAAAAACCGGACACTACAAACCAAACTGATATTATGTAATGACTTTCCCAATTGGGAAATATGCAGACATTGTCATTAACAATGACAACACCCTGCTAGCCATTAACTCTTCTGGCCCAAAAAGCGTGGGAAACAGTTCCCAACCTAAATGTGCACTGTGCCTGACATCAGGTGTGTCAGAAAAAAGTGTAACACTTTTCTTAATTAGGAAATGGCCCAATTAGGAAATAGTGCGCACATCATCATTAACAATGACCACACCATGCTAGCCATTAATTCTTCTGGCCCAAAAAGCATGGGAAACAGTTCCCAACCTAAATGCGCACTGTGCCTGACATCAGGTGTGGCAGAAAAAAGTGTAATGATTTTCCCAATTAGGAAATAGTGCACACATCAATGCATATACTACACATGGGTCAAAGCTATTGGTAAATATCTGTCAACAAACATCCCAATGAGGGTATTCTGCCTACAAAATAATAGGTAAATCCCCTATCCCCTATATTAAAAAAAAAATCCCAAGTTTTTCTGTTAAATATAGGACCCCAGACACCCCTTGTGGGTGAAAAAATATATCCTTAGTCAACCCTAGCTGCAAAATATATCCCAAGTCCATCCCAGACAAGAAATATATTTCTACATTGTGACAGTCACAATTCAGGGTCCAGGCATAAGAAATATATTTGGAGTCCATTCCAGTGAGGAAATATATTTTGGGGTGTGTGACACACTAGAAATATATTTAGTGTGACATTGGACAACAAAATATATTTAGGTTACGAGTCCTCTGAGTTTACGAAGAGACTTGTTTATTACCTGGGATCTCAAGACTTTTTTCAGCACGGTAACGCTGAAATTTGACTTTCTCCCACAAAAATGATTTCTTCCCACAGTTGAACGCCTCATCCTCCTCATTGTATTTTCTAGTCAAATCTACCAAATCATTGCTTAACACTTGCTTTTAGCACCCTAAGCATATGAATAGTGATGCCTCTGCTCTCTATTTACTCAGATTATTTGCTAGCCCTGTTCTTGCAAGCTTCCTCAACATTTCCACAGTATTATCAACCCCATTCAATTATATTTCTTTATATTCAATGTATAACAATCAACCAAGGCCTCAACCTTTTCATAAACAGTTTTGTTGATCATATTCAGGGAGTTTGGGAGTATCCGAAGAAGCCCACATGCATGCCAAACAGATGAGATTAAGGTGCTGAGCGATTGTGAGCATAAATTCAAAAAGGCAAATATACAATTTGACTTACCTCCATGAGGCCTCAATCATTTCACAGACGGTTTGGTGGACCGTTTTCAGGGAGTCTGGGGGTATCCAAACGAGCCCATGTGCATGCCAAATGGACCAGATTAAGGTACTGGAGCTTGTGAGCATATGTGCAAAAAAGCGAATATACAAAGTGACTTACCTCCACAAGGCCTTAACCATTTTGAAAGCGGTTTTGTGGACCATTTTCATGGAGTTTGGGGGTATCCGAACGAACCCACGCGCACGCCAAACGGACCAGAATGAGGCACTGAGAGCTTGTGAGGATGTGTGCAAAAAAGCGAATATACAAAGTGACCTACCTCCACGAGGCCTCAACCATTTCACAAACGGTTTGGTGGTCCGTTTTCAGGGAGTTTGGGGCTATCCGAACGAGCACACGCACACGCCAAACGGTCCAGATTAAGGTACTGAGAGCTTGTGAGCATGAGTGCATAAATGCGAATATACAAAGGGATACTTACCTCCATGGGAAGTTGACCGTTTTGTAAACGGTTTTGTGGAGCTTGTTCGTGGAATGCGTAGGTATTGAATCGAGTCCACACTCAAGCGAAACGGACTGCAGGAAGGTACTGAGAAGTTGTGAGGATAATGGTGAATATTCCGCTGATCAAAAGGAATGACTCACAAGTTGAGTCACGGAAATTTCCGAAAATGACGTACTTCCCTTGCAGGCTACCTTGCATTTTGAAGGTAGCCCGCAAAGGAAGTACGTCATTTTCGGGCAATGCCGTGACTCGTCTTTTTGCCCTAATGCCAACCTCTGCCCAGGACCTTCCTGTGGCTCGATTCGCTTCAACGTAGACTCGTTTGGATAGTGCTTCACGTCCCGAAAACGCTCCAACAAACCGTTTACGAATCCGTCAACTCCTCGTGGAGGTATGTTTGTTTGTACTTTCGTGTTTTTGCACTTCTGCTAAACTCTGCCCAAGGCCTTCCTGTGCCTCGATTTCCTTCAACGTAGACTTGTTTAGATACTACTCCACGTCCCAAAAATGCTCCGACAAACCGTTTACGAAACCGTCAACTCTTGTGGAGGTACGTCTATTTGTATTTTCGTGTTTTTGCACTTCTGCTAAACTCTGCCCAAGACCTTCCTGTGCATCGATTTCCATGAATGTAGGCTTGTTTAGATACTACTTTACGTCCCAAAAATGCTCCGACAAACCGTTTACGAAACCGTCAACTCTTGTGGAGGTACGTCTATTTGTATTTTCGTGTTTTTGCACTTCTAATAAACTCTGCCCAAGACCTTCCTGTGCATCGATTTCCATCAACGAAGACTTGTTTGGATACTACTTCACGTCCCGAAAATGCTCCGACAAACCGTTTACGAAACCGTCAACTCTTGTGGAGGTACGTCTATTTGTATTTTCGTGTTTTTGCACTTCTAATAAACTCTGCCCAAGACCTTCCTGTGCATCGATTTCCATCAACGTAGACTTGTTTGGATACTACTACACATCCCAAAAACGCTCCAACAAACCGTTTGCGAATCCGTCAACCCCTTCGTGGAGGTACGTCTATTTGTACTTTCATGTTTTTTTGACTTCTAATAAACTCTGCCCAGGACCTTCTTGTGCATCAATTTCCATCAATGTAAACTTGTTTGGATACTACTACACATCCCAAAAATGCTCCAACAAGCCGTTTACGAATCCGTCAACTCTTCGTGGAGGTATGTCTGTTTGTATTTTCATGTTTTTGCACTTATGGTGAACTCTGCCCATGACCTTCCTATGGCTCAATTTCTTTCAATGTGGACTCATTTGGACACTACTTCACATCTCAAAAATGCTCCAACAAACCACTTATGAATCTGTTGACCCTTTGTGGAGGTACATCTGTTTGTAATTTTGTGTTTTTTGAACCTATGCTAAACTCTGCCCAAGACCTTCCTGTGGCTCAATTCCCTTCAGTGTAGACTCATTTTGATACTACTACATGTGTGCAAGTAGTAGAGTAGCAGTGAGTACCCTTCACACCTTTAACACCAGTCTGTTCAATGGCAGCACCCCCTACATATTCCCCTTTGTTATTTTTAGTTGGTACATGCATTCCTGGTCATATCCTCAGTTTGCCCAGTATTATGCCTTGGACAATATACAACTCTTTTACTACTTCAGGATTGAGGAGACGTTTTCTGAATTGTTGTTTAACAATTTATTGTATTACATTGTATTAATCTGCCTACCCCGCAAAGCACCATGAATTGATTACATTGTATTCTGCCTTCTGTAAACCAGTCACTCAATCCTTAGGATAGTTCAATGTGCAGGCATATATGACAGTGCTGTCCATGAGGCGAAGAAGCCCTGTGATAAAATGTTAAAAACAACAGTGTTGATCCACTTGCATTTGCTTACCATGTTGAGCCATTGTGGTGTCTTCCCATGCAGCTTTGTATTTTAATGCTGCAGGATCATGTCTACCATGTACATGAGGATGCATTTGATGTCAATGGTGTTATGCACCAGGGGATGGGTGGCAACTTTGTATAGGTAGTGGAAGCATTCATTCCAGTGTTCATTGTAGATGAGACATCTGCCACCAACCACAAATCACTACTTGACTTCTGGTCCATTGGTCTAATGAACATTTCCTGAAAGGAAATATAGCAATAAAAATAGAAGACAAATCAGAAACAAATGGGGGGCAATGTGCACTATTGATGACAATGTTACATAGCATATTTTCAACTGAGGTTATTTGCACTTTTTGAGTTAAAAATAGCAATAAGAAATTGAGGGAATGTTACTGCTTGTGCAATATTGGGGAGCATGGTCAGAGTCCAGGAGAACTTTCCATATGTAGTAATCTACTTGAAATTAACTATAAAAGACTGGAAAAATTTAGAGAAAAATGGAGGATAATACTGGTTGTTGCTTTCAATGTATATGTAGGTACTCTCTGTAGGTAAATGGAAATATACACTTTATCCAATGTAAAATAGCAATACTATATATATATAGTTAATGGGTATAAATCTGATGGGCTTTCAGGAGGTGGTCACATGACTAGTTTCCTGAATAATCAAAAATGTGAATGTTGTGGTGCTGCATTGTAGCTTCCTGAATATAAAAAGGACTCGTATCTGCCATGCTTGCAATGGCCCTCTTGCACAAGTGCAAATAACAAACTTCGCGGGGGTAGGCATAGCGGCAGGGGCCTTGCGAGGTCTCCCACGTTTACGTGGGGTTGTTGGCACCTCTACAATCTCCGGCTCACTCATTCTAAACAGAAAGCGAAGTTAGATAAGGCAAATGTTGGAAGAAAAGAGCGACTGACTCTGCCTTCTCCTCCTCCTCCTCCTCCTCGTCATCATCCTCTCCACCACACTCATCCGATGAACTTGAATAGAGTTCGGTGGGTAAGTGACTGCAAACAAGAAAAGTGTGAAGAAACGTACTCTTCCTCCTGATAAGTCTCGTTCCCGTCGGACTCATCTGAGTCTTCGATAAACTCAGCAGAAATTGCAGCCTTCTTGCGACGAGTGGAAACCATGATTTTTGTCGAAGCGAAGATTGAAAAGCAGAAGTGAGAAACAATCCTTTTTTTATAGGACACAAAATTTAATTTACACAAAAACGATAGAACTGAAACGGAGAGGGGAATCAAGGAGGTTGGACCTGGAAACCCTGTATTTCGTTGAAAATGCTAGAGGTGTTAGACCCTGCAATGAGAGAATTCCCGAGGGAAGCGTAGAATCTGCAGTTGATCGAGCCTAAAACGGTTTCAGACATCAAAAGGGGTGTAAAAAAAACAAGGGTAGCAGATGAATTGCACCCCATTTGTACCCCACAAGTGCCTGCGATGATAGCGCTCGCAGCATTTCGTTATGAACACAACTTTGTTAACTTTGCACAAGCCCATTCAATTAAAATACTCATAAACAAAGAAGAGCATGCCATCTATGATACGTAATTGGTGGGAACACTGGACACCACCCTCGGGAGCCTAATGCCATTACCAGCACATTTACAACCACCAAGACACCATGAAATGAGCATTGGGGTAACGACACTCCAGCGGATTGGATTTTCTGCCACTTCAGGCATGACGGGAGTGACGGTCATGGTTGGTGACAAAGTAGGAAGGGGCGAAAATGGTCGAACAGAAAGAAGGC